GAAGGAAGGAAGGAAGGAAGGAAGGAAGGAAGGAAGGAAGGAAGGAAGGAAGGAAGGAAGGAAGGAAGGAAGAAATTAAATAACTACGTGGTATACATGGAAAAACTATTCTGCCTTGGCAGGAGTCAAGTAAGTGAAAGTGGACAGCCTTCAGACAGAGGTAAGGGTGTTTACCATGAGATAGACCTTGAGTCTGAGCCAGGACTCAATCCAAGGGAGGACCGCCTTTTTATTTGGCAACAGCCTCACCAAACTCACCCTGGTGTGGTAAGCCCCACCCACCTCCCTGCACTGGAGTGCTATGCTCAGGAGAGAACCTGCTTGTGACTGACTCTCTTACCCGGAGAATCCACTCCACAGTGGCTCCTCGTTTGCTGATGGCAGTGACTTCTATTCTGCTTTAAATATCAGACCGTGGTGAGTTGGGTGTGGGTTAAGTCATCTCTCCCCACACTGAGCTATTACAAAGCCTGCTTCTGGACACTCAGGGACAAGACCAGTCCCTGTTCCAAAGTGACTATACTACATAGGAAGAACCTGAATAGGAAACACATTGGGTGACACCTCTCTGCCTCTGCTAACATCCTTAAATCGCAACAGAGATTTTTAGAGAAAAAGAAAGAGAGGAAATGAGTGACAGAGATCTGTTACCTGGCGAGAACTGTCTTAGAGGCTGACAGGACTGGGTTGAAGAAATGGCAGAGAGGGAAGGAGAGAGTCACCAGCCTTAGGGTCACCCTTAGTGACACTCTCCCAACCCGCCCGGAAGCAGGTGGAAATTCTCCAGAAAAATCAGAGACTCACACTGACCAGATGAAGAAAAAGAAGTCACAAGCCATGTATCAAAACCACCGAGACAAGAAGAAGAAAGCAGGAGAGAGAGTCAGGCGGGTCACTGTTAGTCATGTGACATCACCCAAGATGAAAACAAAGTGCTAAGACTTGCCAGATGTTGGAAGGCCGTGGCTTCTTAAAATACCTTCCAGCTGCTTTATGCGGCTGTTCTTGAGGTCTAGGAGGTGATTCAGCATCTCCAGTTTCTCTTGGTGGTCCCTGCTTTCGTTATCAGCCTTTGTCATCATCGCCTCCAGCTCGTCCTGCAACAAAATTAAAGCTGAGCTCTTCCTCTCAGTGGCCCAGAACCAAAGAGCCCTGGCTTTAAAACTGGACCTTGCTGGGTGGGGAGGAGACCGCCACCTCCTCAGCAGGGTGGGTTTGACCCCAGGAAGAAAGCTAAGGTTTCCCGGAGAACCTCACTCCCAGTTACACTTGTGGCACCCGAAGGGGATTATTTCCCTAGGACTTTGGGGAGAAATGAGCCCAGAACCTTAGCACTTGCCATTTCATGAGCTGCCCCTTAGCTGACCTCTAAGGCCAGGGCGCCTGGGCATGCGTGAGTGAGCCCTCAGGTTCTTCCACGGGCAGCACACCGCTAACCACCAGCCTTAGAAACCTAGGCCTGGCTTGTTTCCCGGTGTGTGGGGGGGTGGGGGGCAGTGTGTGTGGGGGTGGCCCCCACATGCCCAGCCTCCTGTTCCTTTCCTAAGCCACCTTTCCTTGCACCTGATAACACACGTTGATTTTGCGCTGCAGAAGGAGCATGTCTCTGGTCTTTTCTAGTTCCAGCGTGGTCTCTGCATGCGACACTTGCAACTGGCTTAGCATCTGGGACAGGCTGTTCTGGTCCTGAGCGTCTGGGTCACTGGACTACAGAGCGAAAACAAGAATAAATATGACGGGTTTGGGGGCGACCGGCTCTCGAAAGCAGCTGTTGAGAGCTGTAAAAGGCCGGCAGCCTCCAGAACGTACAAGGGCTCTCTCCTCCCCACCCGGGGCCTCAGTCAGTGTGTTAGTGAGCGAGGCAGTTTTCAAACAGCAGTTTGGAGGCTGGTGAGCCGAATCCGGGGATAAAGCACTTGCTGTGCAAGTCTAATGACTTGAGTTCAATCCCTGCAAGCCACATGAAAGTGGAAGGGGAGAAGCAGCCTCACAAAGCTGTCCCCCGACCTCCACGCATGCACCGTGGCACATGTGCTCACACAAACTCGCCCTGCGCATACACGAAGCCATAATGAAGGAAACCAACATGGCAGCTTGCTCTTCAGTAGATCATTTCAAGTTTGAGTCTAAAGAGTCTAGGACCAGGAGACACAGCTCAGTGGCTTCTGCAGAGGACCCGGGTTCAACTCCCAGAACCCACGTGGCAGCTCACAACTGTCTGAAACTCCAGTTTCAGGGATTCAATGTCCTCTTCTGACCTCCATAGGCACCCGCACACGTGTGGTATACATGCATACATGCAAGCAAAGTACTCATATGTATAAAGTAGAAATAAATCTTTAAAGACTAAACAAAAGGACTGGATAGATGCTCAGTTATTAAGAGCACTAATTGCTCCTGCAGCGGACCAGGGTTTGGTTCCCAGTACCTACCTGGTAGTTCACAACCATCCATAACACTCCAGTTCTAGGGAATCTAACGCCTTCTTCCGGCCACCCTGGGCCCCGGTACACACATGGTGCCCAGACACACACGCAAACACAATACTCACATACTAAATAAAATAAATAAATCTTGTTTGAAATGCTAATGAACCATAATGGAGCATCTACCTCCTCTGAGCTGTAAGGCATAGGGGTACTGGGTGGGGCTCACAAACTCTACCTCCTGTCAGCCTCCTCAGAGTCCCGTCCCTTCCGTTTTTCCCTGCCCAAAACCTTCCCATGGAGTCACTTGTTTACCTCTCTCTCATCTCTGTGCTGGAACAGAGTGGGCAGAGCCGCCAGTCCAGACAGCTCTTCTGGAGACGGAGACCGGGGCATTGTGCCTGTTGCCTCTTCCTCCTGTTCATCCTGGTAATAGATGTTGGTGATTTCAAGCTTCAGATCTTCACCCTGAGCTGCCGACAACAGGAATCCAGAGGCTTGAAATCAGTTACTGACAACCATGGAGTTGAATCCAGTGTGACATGGTGAAATCATGCTTTGCCCCAAGGCTTCATGTCAGACAGAAAAGCAATTCCCTCTTGCTGACACAAAAGGACCTCTAGCCTACTGACTCCGTTATCTGAGGTGACACTTGTACCTCTAAGGTAAAACCAAGAAGGTAGATGAAGACCCAAGGAATTGTGGGATGGAGGGGGAAACGAGAACAACAGGACAGTCACTGGACTGCCTGGGACAGGCCAATTGTACTTTTGGGAAGGGCTAGGGAGTTGTGGGGGGTGGAGGTAATGCACATGATGAAGACCAGGGTCTTATGTATTCAAAAGTGTTCTACCAACTGAGCTATATTCCCCCCACTAAACATTACTTTTTTGATATCACAGTCCAAGCCAGTCTCTCACCAACTTCATCCCACTGTGACTTCTGGCCATTTGCTCTCTGTATCCCCCATCTCCATATCCTAACGTGTGTGAGGCCCTCCGTTAAATCCCCAGCACCAAACCAATCAGGAAAAGAGACAGGAACTAAAATGGTAGTAGAAACTCAGAAATCTATCAATAGTAAGTAATTCGATCCTCAATTTTAGACATCAAAACAAAATAAAAAACAATGAGTGATTTTTTTCCACTCATCTCAGAAATGACCAAATTCAAAACAAACAAGCAAAAAACAGAGAAATGCTCTCTCTCTCTCTCTCTCTCTCTCTCTCTCTCTCTCTCTCTCTCTCTCTCTCTCTCTCTTTCCTTTTGGTATTTTGAGACAGGGTCTCACTATGTAGCCCTGGCTGTCCTGGAACTCACAGAGATCCGCCTGCTTCTGCTTCTTGAGGATTAAAGGCGTGTGTCATCATACTGGGTGAGAAATTTGTTTTTAGCACGATCAATAAAGTAAATGTTGAAAAACAATAAAGTTAGAAGTTGAGATCATTCCAAATGAGAAGAGATGTGTGGAGAAAGGCATACATATGATGTGTGTGTAGTTATCATGTCTTCCTGGCTAAATAAGACCTCATTGCCCATGTTTTAATTCTAGTTACTGATGTTGCACAAAATACAGGGTCATGTGGGGACAGGAGACGTAGAGGCCCAAGTTCCCATCTCCCAAGCCAGACGCAGAGGGCACTGCCCCTTGAGAAAGCTTTTTCAGGCCTGACTCACCTTTCACGTTGGTTGCCTGGAGGAAGATTTTTGTTCCCTCCAGCCCAGCGCCCAGCGAACAGGCTTGCGGTGTTAGCGGCTCCCTGGCCAGCTCACTGCTCCAGTGAGGCGGCTGGCTGCTATCCAGCATGCTGAAAAGTGGAGGCACGGTGTCAGGTGACCCCTCAAAGGGGTACGCCAAGGCATCTTTGTTACACAGTTTCAGCATCTCTGGGACCTGGCTGATCATTCCTTTCTCCACATGGTTTTTCTGCCCCGGCCTTATTTGTAACTGTCATTTGCCAACTGCTTTGGAACTTTTGGGTGGCATTGAGGAGTTGCTCAGGGTCTCTTCTACTTAAGTCTCCAGGGTTCCACTATGCTAGCCCCCCAATCATTCAGCTCTCAAGGAACTTCTCCAACACGATGGCTTTCTTTAGGCCTTCCCGTGTGTTATTAAGGCAAGCTGAGGCTTCCTGAGTTAGAACTGAGAAACAGGAGCTTTCTTTTCTCACCTCGTCCCCTTGTCTGCCTTTGCCACTGGCTGCTTTAGAGAGCATGTGCCTTTAAATTAGACTGCCTTTTTAAATGACATACTGTACTCAAGGACAAAAACAAGCTTTTCAACACCTGTCCCTCCACCCTGCGGTGTGTCGCTGTTAGGCCTGCCTCGAGTGGAAAACATCCATTTGTAACTTATACATTAATTGACATTAAAAACAAAACAAAACAAAACAACAACAACAAAAAAAAAAAAACATGTTCCAGCAAGCATGGCACACACCTTTAATCCCAGCATTTGGGGGAGAGGGGAATAGGAACAGGTAGATCTCTGAGTTTAAGGCCAGCCTGGTCTACAGAGTGAGTTCCAAGACAGAGGAAACAGTTTCAAAAAAGCAAAAAAACAAAACAAAACAAAAAAACGTTTCTGAATAAATGTCATATAAAAACAATTTGCTTGGGTGATGGTAACACATGCCTTTAATCCCAGCACCCTGTGCCCTCCCCACAAAGGTTTCTTGCCTAGCATACGAAAGATCCTGCATTCACTATACAGACCAAGGATGGTGGCATGCACCTGTAATCCCAGCATTCTGGAGGTGGAGGCAGGAAGAGCAGAAGTCCAAGGTCATTCTTGGCTACACAGTAAGTGCAAGGCTGCATTTTATATCACCTGAAGACTCAAGAAGATAATAGATATTCTGAGTGATCAAGAGACCGGCAGCAGCTAATGCCACAGGAGAGCCTCACCATCACCTGACCCGGGTGCTGCCGGGAGACCTCTCCTGCAGCCCCAATCTGCTTCTCGCTCTTTATCGCTTCTTTTTTGGTGGAAACTTTTGATTCTCCTGCCTCAGTCTCCTAAATTCTGGGATCACAGGTGCAGGACCACACACCCAGCTCCCTTTGCTGTCTTTTTACTACGATAAAAGGCACTTTGATTTTTAAAATTTTTTTTAAATTTTTCTCTGCACTTTTTTTCAGTGGCACTGAGGATTGCACCCTGGACCTCCCAGGTGAGAAAATGCTCTACCACTAACGTCTCCGGCCCTAATTTTACTTTTATTTTGAGACAGAGTCCCACTGAGTTACCTAGATCGTCCTCAAACTCATTCTGTAGCCCAGGTAGGCTTTAAACTTATGACCTACTTGGCTCAGCTCCTGGAACAGCTGGAATTACAGGCCTGTGCCATGGAGCACAGCTAGGTCCTTTGAATTACAAAATTAACACAGGAGTATATGTTTATTGTGGAAAAATGAAAATGAAAAGCTGGAGAGATGGCTCAATGGATAAAAACACTAGTTGCTCAGTTCCCAGCATCCACATGATGGTTCGCAACCATCGGTAACTCCAGTTCCAAGGGATCCAACACCCTCTTCTAGTCTCCAGAGGCAGACACCAGGCACATTTGTGGTGTCTAGGCACACATGCAGGCAACACACCCAGACACATAAAGTAAAAATAAGTATATCCCTGGCTATCCTGAAAATCACTAGTCTATAGACCAGACTAGCCTCTAACTCACGGAGATTGGCCTGCCTTTGCCTGTTGAATGCTGGGATTAAAGGCATGTGTCCCTACCACCCCGGAATTAAAAAAAAAAAAAAAAATTAAAGAAAAGCAATAGAAAGACCTAGAGTGAAAGTCCTTCACTTTCACTTCATAGTCTCTGCAGATTAAAATGCACACGCCAGGGCAGGGGTAGCGCGCCTGTTTACATCTTGCCTTTCCTTTGAACATTATTGTTATCTCTTTTTTGTTTTTGTTCTTTGAGACAGACTTTCTCTCTAGACAGCCCTGGCTGTCCTGGAACTCATTCTGTAGACCAGGCTGGCCTGGTGGCCTCCATCTCTGCCTGCCTTTGCTCTGGAATGCTGGGATTAAAGGTATGTAACACCATGCCTGTTCAGTCTGTTTAAGATTTGTCAAGTTCCATAATTCTCTTACAGAAAACAGTGCTCTGGGGCCATACTTTGTACTTACTTCTCCAAGAGTCTGTCATAACTGTCCCTCAGCAATTTCCGTTCATTTTCCAAATCTTCCACTCTGACCTGAAACTAAATAACGATAGAATCCTTGAGACCATGCTGGTTTTGCTTTTCATTGCAGACCAGAGTTTGGGCATGGGCTCTTCTATACTGATTCTACAAGGTGTCGTTTGAAAGACTGGCCTGGCACACCTTAAATCTACTGCACAGAGGCAGTAGAATCTCTGAGTTCCCTGCCAGCCTCGTCTACAAGTGAGCATTGGGACCTCCAGGGTCACACAGTAAAAACCTTGTCTCAAAAAAACAAAAAAACAAAAGATTGGAGCCAGTTAAAAGTAGGCTGGGGACTTTCATTGGAATTAGTGAAGACTCTTTGAGCCAGTTTTCCTTACATCTGTGTTCCGACCATCAGAGAAATGACAAAGCATTACAGAAGATAAAAATGGTCAGTGAGATGGCTCAGCAGATAAGAGCGATTGCCACCAAGTCTAGTGACTTGAGTCTGATCTTTGGAACCCACAGGGTAGAAAGAGAAAATTAACTCAAAAGATGTCCTATGACCTCCACACTTAAGCGGTGGTCTATGTACCTACACAATAAATAAATAAATGTAAGGAAAAAAGATGCAGCCAATCCTGGTGGTACACAAGATTAACCTTGGCACTCAGGAGGCAGAGGCAGGAAGATCTCTGTGAGTTCAAGGCCAGCCTGGTCTACAGAGTGCATTTCAGACGAGGCAGAGCTACACAGTGAGACCCTGTCTCAAAAAACAGCAAAAGAAAAAGAAAAAGAGAAAAGACTCTAGAAAATGGACAAGTATAAATTCTCAAATGTTGCTATCATCTAAACTATGTGGTTTAACCACTTTGGAGGCTCACTGTTCTCATATGAAAAAGTTAAGTGGGCAAGGCTAGAGAGACAGGTTAGCAGCTAAGAACACTGGCTGCTCTTACCAAGGACCTTGGTTTGATTCCCAGCACCCATATGATGGCTCACAAACATCTGTAACTCCATTTTCAGGGGATCTAATGCCTTCTTCTGACTCCAGCAAATACTACACACTCACGTGGTGTGTAGGCACACAGGCAAGCAAAGCACCAACAGACGTAAAACAAATGCTTTTCATGGAGTGGCCATACTGTTGCTATGATGCTCATTTTTAACATCTTGAAGTTAGAATGAAGCGGTTTTTAATTATAAAAAAAAAAAAAAAGAAAAAAGAAAGCCCTCCTCAGGGCCTCAGACTTGGTCCAGCACACACATTTGTTTTGTTTGTTTGTTTTTGTTTTTTTGAAATTACTCAGCTGTGGTGGTATTGTGTTCCCCAAAATATTGTGTGCCCTAATAAACTTATCTGGGGTCGGAGAACAGAAAAGCCACTAGATTTATTTAGGATAGGCAGTGGTAGCACACGCCCTTAATCCTACCATTCCAGAGGCAGGAATCCATGTGTTCAAGGATAGAGCCAAGCATGGTGACTCATGCCTTTAATCTCAGAAAGCCAGCCTTTAATCCCAGGGAGTGGTAGTAGAAAGCAGAAAGGTATATAAGGCGTGAGGACCAGAAACTAGAAGCATTTGGCCTGGTTAAGCATTTGGCTGGTTAAATTTTCAGGCTTTGGAGCACAGTTCAGCTGAGACCCATTCTGGATGAGGATTCAGAGGCCTCCAGTCTGAGGAAACAAGACCAGCTGAGGATCCGGCGAGGTGAGGTAGCTGTGGCCTGTTCTGTCTCTCTGATCTACCGGCATTCACCCTAATAACTGGCCTCAGGTTTGATTTTATTAATAAGAACTTTTAAGATTCATGCTACACTCAGCGGTTTATTCATAAGACATAGACAATCTGATGAATAGAAAACATTTTTTTAGTTACTAAAGCAGAGAAATTTAGTTGTCGGGAGGCCTGTTAAGGAAGGCAGTGCACACATTCATAGCAGTATTGAGGGCTTGATGGACGTTTAAGCTGTTTCTGGCCTTTTACAGAGAGAAAGGACACTGCAAGCAGCCTTGTACATACACCTTTGTTCCACTGTCAGAGCAGTGCTGTAAGATGCAGCCCTAAGAAGGAAACTGCAGAATTAATTAAAAGGGGTGTGCATTCAAAATATTCATGAAGACAACTAAATTTTTCCAAAGAAGTTATACAGTAAATGAGAACACACACAAGGAACTGTGAATATTTATAGAAGTAAATCTGATAGAGGAAAATGGTCTCTAGTCACTGACCAATTTTGTATTTTGTTGCTGATGAGTGAAGTTTATCCTTTTTTGCAATTTCCATTGGTCCTGAAATTATGCCTTTTATATTATCTTAGAGCTCTTTGCAGGGCAAACTTAAAATTACAAAAAATCTGGTATAAAACACTTAATCCTTAAAAATGTATTATAACTTAACCTAATATGGATCCACTGATTACATTCATGAGAGAACTTCTACGATTCAATTCAGCTTGAAGTTGAAGTCCTTTATCCCAATTTGCAGACAGCACACACATTTCTTTGTTTGTTTATAAGGTGCCCAAGCTGGTCTCAGACTTACTGTACATCAAAAGAAGACCTTGAACCATCTCGTTTCCATTTTGCTAAGATTACAGATGTACGCCAACACTGCTGAGTCAGGCTTTCACCAGGACAGACTGAACTCTGAGATCCCCCTGCCTCTGCCTCTCAAGTGCCCAGCATCGACCTGCTGCAGGCAACATTAAGGAACAAATCCAGGGCTTTGGATGTGCTAGGGAAGTACTCTATAACTGAGCTGCTCCCGACCCTGGAATATGGCACATTTGATGACATCTCTTCACTACTATTATTTACCTCCTTCAGAGTTATCTGCAAGATAGACACATCTTCCAGTTGGGTCTTCAAGCTCATGGCCTTCTTGCTCTCCTCTGACAGCTCAGCCTTGAGCTCATTCACTTGGCTGAGGAAGGCATCATGGGTTGCATTCAGTATTCCTTGATTCTGCAGACAAAGGGAATCCCTCTAGGAACGATCACATGACTCAACAGGAATGGTCTCCAGACAGCAGCAACTCAAAGAATGACCATGTGGTAGTTTGGATAAGAATGGCCCCCACAAGCCAGGAAGTGGTGGCACACCCCTTTAATCCCAGTACTTGGGAGGCAGAGGCATGAGTTCGAGGCCAGTCTGGTCTACAAAGTGAGTTCCAGGACAGCCAGAGCTGTTACACAAAGGAACCAAACCCTGTCTCAAAAAAAAAAAAAAAAATTACCTTTTGATGCAAGGAGTGAAGACTCACACCTTTAATCCCAACACTCAGGAGGCAGAGGCAAAGGGATCTCTGTGAATTTGAGGCCAGCCTGGTCTACATAGTGAGTTTCAGGATAATCAGGGCTATATAGAGAGATTCTTGTTGGAGAATATTTGTTTATACTGTGAAGATGTGTCTTTGCCAAAGCACCTTCTGATTGGTTTAATAAAGAGCTGAATGACCAATAGCAAATCAGGAAGAGGTTAAGTGGGACTTCCAGGGACAGAGAGGACTCTGGGAAGAAGAAAGGCAGAGTCACCAGACAGACATGGACTATCAAAAAAAAAAAAATTCAAGACACGGAATAAAATCCGTCTCTTGTCTCCCAGAGCTCCCTGACATCTGGGCTAAAACTGGAGCATCTGGAGAGCAAGGTCCTGACCCCACAGGCAGAAGTTTCAGCTGTGGCGTTTAAGATGTACCATGGGAGAGATGAGAAAGCCCATGAACAGAATTGCCAAATGCTGGCTCACACTATCTGAGCAGCTGCATAAGGGCTTTCTGGATCCCTGTTTTAGAAGGCCAGGCAGGCTAGTGCGTGCCCTGCCAGGCCATCAATTGAGCCTTGTTCAAAGTGCCACCTAGAGAGATAACTGATCAGCTGACTGTCCATGACTGTGGTCATGCACACAGTGGCATGGGGACATCAAACTAAGACTCCAGCAGACCTCCTAGGCTTGGCCACAGGCTCGCAAGGAACCCAGGATGCAGCGGTGGTGATCTGTTCCCTTCCTGTTGGACACTAAGCCACTTAATCAGTCCTAAGGCAGTTTTGGGGTCCCACCTCTCCTCATTTCCCCATTGTCAGGTTAGGGAGGACAGCCTTACCCACCTCACCAGACTTAATTGTACTTTCAGGGTTACTTAATGAGAAAAGATTTTCCAGCTAAGGTAGGAGCTTTCATTTCATTGCTCCCTCCATGTGCCTCACTCCAGACCTGTCAGAAGTGCTTCTCCTCCTCATGCACACAGACAGGACCCTGCTCTCTGCCTTGTCCCTAATTCCAGAAGAATGAGTTCTCACCCCACAAGCTTTTCTCTTCCTGGTTTCCTCTTTTAATTAACTGGTCAGCTAATTGTTACAGGATCACCATAGATACCCAGGTGGTAACAGTTAAAAGGTATTTACACCCCCAGACCCAAAAATGTCTGCGCTCTGCAAAAACAGACTTTAATATAACCATCTATTACTGTTAAATGCTCTTAACAATTGATCACCTGTATCTTTTGGATGCTAAACTAATAAAGGAAACAGCTGCCTTAAAATAATCTATCTCTGATAAAGCTTATCTCAGGTAAAAATTAAAAATATGTTCCAATCTTTCTCCTCTTCTCTCTCTCTCTCTCTCTCTCTCTCTCTCTCTCTCTCTCTCTCTCTCTCTCTCCTCTCTACATGTGCTTCTTCCCCAGGCCTGGTTCTTTTGTCCATTCCCCTCCTCCTAATAAAGCTCTGATACTGGGTTTTGTTGTGGCTTGTGCCTTATGACCTCTCTGCACAGTAACCAGCGCCACTTAATATTTTTAAAACAACAGGAAGCAAAATGGACAGTATGGAGATGAGGTAACAAGCCTCCTGGAAAAATGTAGATTAAAAAAATATAAGTTGATTTAAGTTATAAGAAGTAGTTAGGCAGGCATGGTGATACACACATTTAATCCTAGCACTCAGGAGGCAGAGGCAGGCAGATCTCTGTGAATTTGAGGGCCCCCTGGTCTACAGAGCTAGTTTCAGAACAACTAGGGCTGTTACACAGAGAAATCCTGGCTCAAAAAATCGAGAGAGAGAGAGACAGAGACAGAGAGACACAGAGAGAGAGAAAGAGAGAGAGAGAGAGGTGGTTAGGAACAAATCTAAGCTAAGTAGAGCTTTCAGGATTAATAAGAAGTCTTGGCGTCATTATTTGCAAGCCAGCAGCCCAAGGAAAAATCCAACTACATTTGGCACCCAATGTGGGGCACATACACAGAGCCCATTGCTCACAGCACACAGAGGCAAGGTTTGTTCAAGAGGATGGTCTCGTTTAAGAGGCCCTGCTAGGAGCAGCTGATGCGCTACTCTGCAGCAGGAGACTAGGTACAAACATCTGCCACAGCGAGGACACAGCAGCTTCCCAGAGCTGGGTCAGTTAGGTGCAGCTGGGATGGTCAGTTAGGAGGACCCAAAGGGGGCAGAGCCAGATGCCAGTGCCATAAGCCAAAGTCACAAAGGGCCTAGCCAAACAGTTTAAGATTTCTCTCACGTGGTTAGAGAAAGCTGCAGGTTTGCAATAGAGTCAGGTCCAGACCAAGAAGATCTCTAAACAGATATAGTATGCTTAAAAATGTGCTTAGATGCTGAAGAAAAGAAAATGGGTACATACAATCATAAAAAAAATAAATAGTTTAAAAATAATAAATTATCTGAGCTTTTGAAATTAATAAGAAGTCCCCAGTTCGTTATTTGTGGGCTGGGGGTCCTAACGAAAAAGTACTACTGTAAATCCTGTCTTAAAAAACAGCAAAAAAAAAAATTACCTTCTGGAGCAAGTCTTCATATGCCTGGAAGAAATAAGTAAGTATTATTTCACCAATGCACCAATTTCACAACATATTTGACATCTCTCTAAGATAAATATAGTTGGATGTGGTAGCCCATGCTACCTAGCACTTGGAAGGTAGGGGCAGGCAGATCTCTATGAGTTTGAGTCTGGTCTGGTCTACAGAGCAAGTTCCAAGCCAGCCAAGGCTACACAGTGAGACCTTATTTCATTTTTTTTTCTTTTCTTTTTTTTTTTTCCGAGACTTATTTATTATGTATACAATGTTCTGTCTGCATGTATGTCTGCAGGCCAGAAGAGGGCACCAGATCTCATTACAGATGGTTGTGAGCCACCATGTGGTTGCTGGGAATTGAACTCAGGACCTCTGGAAGAGCAGTCAGTGCTCTTAACCTCTGAGCCATCTCTCCAGCCCTTATTTCAAAAAGAGAGAAGTGGGGCTGGAGAGATGGCTCAGAGGTTAAAAATATTGGCTGCTCTACCAACGGACTCCAGTTCAATTCCCAGCAACCACATGGTGGCTCACAACCATGTGTAATGAGATCTGGTGCCCTCTTCTGGCATCCAGGCATGCATGCAGGCAAAACATTGTATACATAGTAAATTTATAAATAAATCTTAAAGTGGGGGGAGATACACGACTCAGCAGAGCAGCTATGTCTTAGGGCTGAATGCAGGAAGACCCAACCTCAGAGACTAACGCCACCACCATCTACTCACCTAAAGCAGGAATCCAGAAGCTACCTTTCATTTCTCCATTGGCCTCACTCTCTCTCCTTTTGGGGACAGAGCCTGTTCTTCTGTGTCCTGGATTTATCAAAGTAAGATCCCTTTCTCTGTGATCTTCTCTCCCCTGGGTCCTCATCTAGTCTCCTTGGTAACCCTGTCCTGGGCTTCTATGGGATTTCCGTGTCTATACTCTGTATCAGCCATTCCAGCCTTGTCTCTGTTCTGCAATTTTGCCTTTTTCTTTTTTAGATTTTTTTTTTATTTTATGTACATTAGGGCTTTGCATGCATGTATCTCTTTGTGAGGGTGTCAGATCCTCTGGAACTGGAGTTACAGATAGTTCTGAGCTGCCATGTGGTTACTGAGAATTGAACTCAAGTCCTTTGGGAAGAGCAGCCAATCCTCTTAACCACTGGGCCATCTCTCGAGCCCCAAAATTTTCTTTTTAAATTTAGTTACTTTATGTGGATGTGTGTTTTGCCTGCATGTATGTATGTGCACCACATATGTGCCTGGTTCCTGCAGAAGTCAGAAGAGGATATCAAATCCCCTGAACCTGGAGTTAGATAGAGACTGTTGAGAGCCTCTATGTGGATGCTAGGAATCAAACCTGGATCCTCTGCAAGAACAAGACGTTGTTTTAAACTCTGAGCCATGTCTTCAGCCCCTTTTCCTGGTTTTAGTTGGTTTGTTTAGTCTTTGTTTGTTTTGTTTTTTGAGACAGGATGTCACGTGGTCCAGGCTGGCCACAGACTTGCTATGTTGTTGATGATCATCTTGAGATACTGCAATTCTTGAGACCTTGAAGATTTCAGAACAACATAAAGTCTCCTACATCGCCTACATCCATTCCTACCACCTGTAACTAGTAACTATTGGTTCTTTGCAACCATTTTCCTAAAGGTATTCTTTATGTACTAAAATGTATTTCAAATCTCATGCTTTTCAAAGGCTGTGAGATCTTTTGGAGGGAAGAATCTGATTTTATGACCAGTGTGTTCAAAACCTGTCTCCAGCTGCTCATTATCTATGAGCTGAAGCCTAAATCTCTGACAGACAGGCTCTGGGACCTAGACCTTCAGTGTGTCTACATTCACCTCCCTAGAAATTCTTCCCTTTTCTGGAACACTTGGTGCTGCACGATACTCTTCTGATATTTCAGAATTTAGTTCATGAACAGATTCCTTTATGAATCCTTTTTAGAATGTTTTTAAACTTTAATTTCTACTGTGTGTGTGTGGGGGGGGGGGGCGGGTGTGCTTTGCCGGCACGTGCGTCTGTGCACCACTGCATGCCTGGTACTTGCAGAGGCCAGAAGAGGGAGCTGGATCCCCTGGAGCTGGAGTTACCTATGGCTGTGAGCCACCGTGTGGTTGCTGGGAATTAAACCAAGACCCTCTAGAAGAGCAGCCAGTGCTCCTAACCACTGAGCTGTCGATCCAGTCCCGATTTACGAAGCCTTTTCTCTTTACACCAGCCACTTCCTTTTTTGATACCCAATCACTTCCTTTCTTGGTACCTCCCCTACCTCATCTAGAGTTGTTCTATGACCTTGCTGCACTCTCACTCCTGGAACGGCCTTGGAGACTCGAGCTGTGTTACTCCTCACTGTGGTCTTTAAGTCAGAAAACAACCAGGCAAGCACCATGGATTGGAAAGAAACAAGGCTGCCAGTGTCATCTTTATTTCTCAGGGCTTTGCACAGCTCTAACGCTCTGTACACACTGGCTCCATAAAGGAATGGTGCTGAGGTCTCACTTAGACCTTGACATCACAGTTCCACCATTCTCGATGAAGTTAATAACCCGGTATTGGGGGAAGCCATGCTACTAGCCTGAACCAAATCCTATTCTGCCTCTTACTCTTTTTACACCTCGATCCAGTTACTTGTCTCCTTTGGGGTGTAATTTCCTCACGGCTGTGTTTCCTACATCAGTTCTGTCATATTAAGAGGGCACATGCTATAAGCATCTAGGACTGAGTCTTCAGCAGACAGAAAGTGCTCACCAAAGGCTTGTCTCCCGCCCTCCCCTATGATGATTATAGAATTACATTCTGATCCCTTTGGTTGGGACCTGAACCCTGACACAAGTTAACCCTGCCAAACTCCACCTTACCAGGCAAGAGCCTCAGTCTTTTCTGTAACAGAGAAATCATGAGAAAACAATAGACTGGCAAGGCTTGGCTCTGAATACCACTTGTAAATTATATGACCTTAGACAAGTAACTTAGTGTCTTTGAATTATGATCTCACATATGCAAGACAGAAAAATCATCTGAGTGTGGTGGACACACTGGACATCCCAGTATGGGGTGGGAGGGTAGGTAGAAAGGAGTGTGCACGTTTGAGGCTAGCCTGAGGTACATAGTTTCAGTTAGCCTATGTTACAGAATAAGGGCCCATCACAAAGAGGGGGGTGGGTACAAAGTGGAGGAAGGACAGGGAAAGAAGGAAGCGGAGGAACAGGTTCTTGTTTTGGGTTTTTGTTTGTTTGGTTGGTTGGTTTTTGTTCTTGGTTGTTTTTTTGTGTGTGGGGGTGGGGGGGTGGGGGGGTATTTGTTTTGTTTTTCAAGACTGGGTTTTTCTGTGTATCCTTGGCTGTCCTGGAACTCACTCTGTAGACCAGGCTGGCCTGGAACTCACAGAGACCCACCTGCCTCTGCCTCCCGAGTGCTGGGATTGAAGGCGCCCTTCCCCACAGCCCAGCTAGTTTTTCGTGCTGTTTCGTTTTAAGTAACACCCCCTCCCCTTTGTGCAGTCCTAGGGATTGAACCTAGGGCTTCATGCAAGAACGAATTGGCTTTTCCCTCTCTAAAAAGCACGGCTAATTATAGAACTCACCTCTTGAACTTGTGTTAACTGGGCTTCTGTGGCCGCCAGTGAGGCATTCTTTTCATATAAGAGCTTTTTAAGTCGAATCAGCTCCACGTTCTCCTTAATGGAGGCTCTGTAAAATAGAAGGCACTAAACACATCAGAAGTAGAAACAGTCTGCAAAATATCCTTCCTCCCGGTTTGTTTTTAAGATTTACTTTTTATGTATACAGTGTTCTGCCTGCAGGCCAGAAGAGGGCACCAGATCTCATCACAGATGGTTGTGAGCCACCAGGTGGTTGCTGGGAATTGAAGTCAGAACCTCTAGAAGAGGGAGAAGCCAGCGTTCTTAACCTCTGAGCCATCTCTCCAGCCCCCCTCCTCCTGTTTGTAATTATGACAGTTAAGATCTGAGGACCACTAATCTTAAGCCTTGAGTTCTAAAAAAAAACATAGTAACTATTTTTTTAAATTATGGTTCTCACATTTTCTCAGATATCTTACAGAGTTCAACTAAATATACGCCTTATTTCCTTAGAAACATAAATATAGAGGCAAAGGAAGGCTATTATTATTTCCAAACCTAGAGGATAATGTTTCTGGCTATTTGATTTAATTTATATTTTTGAGACAACATCTCACTATATAGCCCAAGTTGGCCCTTATTTAAAAAATGACTTAGCTGGGCATGGTGGTGCATACCTTTAATCCTAGCACTTTGGAACTCAGGAAGCAAAGGCAGGCAGATCTCTGAGTTCAAGGCCAGCTTAGTCTACAGAGAATATTCTAGGACAGCCAGGACTACACAAAGAAACCCTGTCTTGAAAAACAAAACAAAACAAAAACAAAAAATTACTTAATAGCACACGCTTTTAATCCCAATGCTTGGGAGGCAGAGGCAGGCAGATAACTGTGAGTTCAAGGCCAGCCTCATTTACAGAGTGAGTTCCAGGGCAGCCAGAGCTATGTAGTAAAACCCTGTCTCAAAAATACATACATACACACATACATACATACATACATACATACATACATACATACATACACACATAAGAAAATGAAAAAAAAGTTTAAAAGCTATTAGGAAGGATTTAGGCTCACTCTGTCCCAGCAACTCTCACTCCCTGTACTGACTAGTTACAAATGAGATCTTTAAAATTACATTGTTACTTAGACTTTACCTCCAAGTAATTAAATATGGGGCTTAAGTGTTGAGTGTTTAACAGGTCTCCACAGGCTGGGGGTTGTAGCTCAGTTGGTAGAGAGAAGCAGGACTTCCTGGCAAGCAGGAGGTCCTGAATTTGGTCCCCAGCATGGTATAAAACAGATGTAGTGGTGAATGCCTGGGGAAGGTAGAAAAGCAGGAGGATCAGAGGTTCAAGATTCTCCTCTGCTCCATAGTGAATTTGGATCAGCCTGGGTTACATGAAACCCGGTCTCAAAAGGAAAAAAAATAAAATACAATAAAAACAACAAAAAATCAGTGGACTGTTTGTCATTCAGCCTGAGGGAGCAGGGGTGGGGTGGAGGGGGGTTGCTTCACGTGACAGGAACCTGGTAGAGTCCTCAGTGCATGTCATTAAGTGAGAAGAGCGAACCTCAAAGCTGCATTTGTACAATCCGAGCTATCCAGTGCTGTGGGCGAAAGGAAAAGCCGTACATATAGAGAAAAGGATCAACGGTCATCAAAGGTTGAGGAGAGAGACACAAACAGGCAGAGCACAGGCGGTTTTTAGGGCAGTGACTCTCCTGTGATATAGAATGGTGGGTCCCGGTAACTACACACTTGCGCAAACTCCCAGCATGCACAACAGCAAGGATGAACTTTTTTTTCCCTTTTTCTTTTTTTGATTTTCAAGACAGGGTTTCTCTGTGAAGCCCTGGCTGTCCTGGAACTCACTCTGTAAACCAGACTGGCCTCGAACTCAGAGCTCTACCTACCTCTGCCTCCAGAGTGCTGGGACTAAAGGCATTATGCCACCACACCTAACTAAGTATGAACTTTAATATGAACTGCTGCCTCTGTGTCAATATTAGCTCATTTTGATGTTTTGGGTGTGTTTGTTTGTTTTTTAATTTTCACTGAGAAAGGGTTTTACTATGTAACCTTGGCTTGCCTGGAATTCCTTAACCCAGGCTGGCCTTGAACTCATAACGATTGGCCTGTCTCTGCCTCCCAAGTGCTGGGATTAAAGGCGTGCGCCGCCAGTTCTGGCTGTTGGTGATTTTGTAACAAAGGCACCACTTTGGGTTCAGTGGTAAAGAACGTGTGCTGCTCTTGGAAGGCGGAGATTCTAGTCTCAGGTTAAACCAGCAGTCAAACCCAGTTCCAAGGGTCTGGCGCCCTCTTCTGGCCTCTTCAGGCACCAGGTGCACACAGTGCACTAACACATCTGTAGGCAAAAATTCCCACATTAAACACACACACACACACACACACACACACACACACACACACACACACACACACACACAAATCTGAAAACTAAAGAGGAGCTGAAGAGTTGGCTTGGCTGTTAAGGGCACTTGTTGCTCTTACAGAGGACTGGGGTTCAATTCCTAACATCTGCACGGTGGTTGGATCCAACCTCATAGTCTTCTGACCTTCACAGGCAGCAGGCACTCACATGACACACAGACACATGTGTGAGTAAACATTCATAAACATGAAACGAAAATAAATCTAAATAAAACATTTTAAATAAAATACAAACCGAAAAGGCTGTGGAGACAGGTGTATGTGGTCTTTCTTATTCAATTTGGCTATGAAACTAAAAGACTGATCTTAATGCAGTCCATTTTCCACCTGGGGTGTGTGTGTGTGTGTGTGTGTGTGTGTGTGTGTGTGTGTGTGTGTGTTCACGCTCATGCTCATACACATACATGTGGAGGCCAGAGGTTGATGCTGGGTCTCTTCCTCATTTGCGCTCCACTTTGTATGCTGAGACAAGGTCTCATACAGAACCTAGCTAGGCAATGAGTTCCACGGAGCCCCTTGTCTCCAATCCCCTAGTGCTGAGATTGTAGACACATGCTGCCACACCCAGCCTTTCTGTGGCTGCTGAGGTTCCAAACCCTGGTCTTCATGCTTCTGTAACAAGCAGCTTACTGATTGCGTTAATCTCCCTAGTGTTTTTTTTTTTCATTACTTTTATTCATTTGTTTGTTTTTGCCAGTAGAATGAGTCTTACCTTCAATTCCAGCACCCCAGAAGCAGAGGAAACCATCTCAGCCCTTGAGCAAGGACTCTACCCTGAGCTAAATCCCCAGTCCTTTGACCAGAGCATAAAAGCACCTGCTACAGAAGTCACACAATTTAAGTTCAATTCTTGGAACTTCTGGTGGAATAAAAGAACCAACTCCAGCCGGGCGGTGGTGGTGCGTGACTTTAATCCCAGCACTCTGGAGGCAGAGGCAGGCGGATCTCTGTGAGTTTGAGGCCAGCCTGGTCTCCAGAGTGAGTTCCAGGACAGTCAGGACAGGACTCTTACACAGAGAAACCCTGTCTCAAAAAAAACAAAAAAAAAAAAAAAAAAACAAAACTTCAGAAAGTTGTCTCTGATCTGCCCACACATGGAAATCACATGTGTATGTCTGCATTTGAACATACACACAATAATAAAAGTAAAATAAAGCCAGGTGGTTGTGGCACATGCCTTTAATCCCAGCACTTGGGAGGCAGAGGCGGGTGGATCTCTGAGTTCAAGGCCAGCCTGGTCTATAAAGTGAGTTCTAAGATAGCCAGGACAGTTAGACAGAGAAAAGTTTGTCTAAAAAAAAACCTAAATAAGTAAATAAAAGTAAAATAAAATATTTTTCAAAGGTGGGGCAGGTTTATACAGGATTTCCTTCCTTCATTCCTTTCTTCTTTCAGCTTGAGGACAATTTTATTAGGATTTAAAGGGGGGAAATGCTTCAGGGCAGGCAAGCCTTAAATCTCAGCTGCTGGGGGCTGCAGGAATATCATAAGAACTCTGCTGGTTATGGCAATTCACTACCTGGAGGAATCAGGGAATTCCTCCAGAAGAAGCCAAATCCCAAGGAGTTTTTGATGTTACTTGGCTTGTTATATATCAGCTGTATTCTGTTATGAAAATCATGTGTGCCTTCATAGTTTTCCCAATTGGCTTTTCCCTAAGAAGGGCTAACAGTGTAGACTGATCACTCTCTAGACATACACATTCCAGGCGTTTGGAGAACAGCCTCAGGAAAGGTTTTCTCTGGAATCAGATATCTCCCCTAGCCACTTTCAAGAACTAAAGGAGACACCACCTGGGTGGTCGCCCAATTTCTGAGGACTAACAGTGATAACCCACAGGCGAGTCTCCTGACTTAAGGTAAATTCCACAAGGAGACACCGCCTAGGAGAGGTGGACGTTAAGTAATAGCTTTAAACAGTTTAGCTCGGACCCTCCCTTTATATAGCGGGACTTCCAGGGCACAAGACAGAGAAGAGAAAAGAGAATGGAAGAACTAGATGGGTAAGAACTTGAGAGGAACAAACTGAGATGGAAAAGAAGTAGATTGAAGGGCTAGAAGAGAGTACTAGAGGAACGAGATGGAAGATGAGGAAGAGCCAGATGGGGAAGAACAAGATGAGGTAGAACAAGATAAGAGAAAAGAAGATGGGAAAGGAGATGATATGGGAAGGAACAAGATGGATGAGAACCTAGAAGGGGCAGAACTAGATGAAGGAATTAAGATAGAACCTAGAGGGGACCGCAGACAAGTGTAGAGAGAAATCAGGCTAAAGATGACCTAAATATGAGAGCAGAATATAAGCTTGTAACTGACACAGAATAATAAAGTATATAGACTAAGGAGTTTCATGTACATAGATTCATTTCTTCTCATCAAAGATTAATTATCAGCTGGTTGTAGATTCTTCCTGGACCCTGGGAGGGGACTATTGAGGGGCTGGACCCCCATAGTCCCTGATACTCAGCAACTGCCCAAAGGAGAAGAATGGAGGAGAGAAGAAAAACACCATGCCAACTTGAGTTAAGAGGGCATGAACGGGCTGGAGAGATGCTCGGGAGTAGCACTGGCTGCAGGGAGCCACAGCTGGGCTCCAGGCCGAGCTCCAGGAATCCATTGAAGAATGAGAAGAGGGATTCTATGTGCAAGGGACATTGAGGTCATGACTGAGAAATCTACAGACAAGCCAGCTAATGGGAAGTCATGAACTTTAGACCACCAGCTGTGAATCCCTCATGGATCTGGACTAGGCCCTCTGCCTGGGTGAGACAGTTGGTACCTTGGTCTACTTGGGGGGCCCGTTGGCAGTGATCAGGATCCATGCCCGATGTAATAGCTGGCTCTGGAGCCCACTGCATACTGGGGGACCCCTTGCACAACCTTGGTGCAGTGGCTTGGACCTGTGTCAACTGAATGTGCCAGGATCTGCTGAGTCCCCATGGGAGGTCTTGTCTTGTCAGAGGAGGGAATGGGGATAGGTTGGGGGGGAAAGGCTGGGGAGCTGGAGGAGGGAGGAGAAGGGGAACTGTAGTTGGTATGTAAAATGAATAAAAAATTCTTAATAAAAAGTAAAAAAAAAAAAAAAAAAAAAGAGCACTGGCTACTCTTCCAGAGGGCCTGGATTCAATTCTCAGCACCCACGGGGCAGCTCACAACCATCTGTAACTCCAGATCCAGAGGATCCGACTCCCCTGGAAAAACACTCATACACATAAAATAAATAAATAAAATTAAATTTAAAAGAAGAGGTCATAGAGGTCAGCTACGTGCTGGGGAGGAGGTGTTAGAGAAACAGTGAGGCCCAGCATGTCAGGGCAAACATGCTTAGAGAACGATAGAATGAAGAAAAGGAGAAGCTAAGCTATGCATGGGACTCTTTAAGAAACTACACTAGGATCTCTGTGAGTTCGAGGCCAGCCTGGGCAACAGAGTGACATCCAGGACAGGCTCCAAAGCTACACAGAGAAATCCTGTCTTGAAACACCAAAAAAAAAAAAAAAAAGAAAGAAAGAAAGAAAAAGAAACTACACTAAGAGGGGGAATGTGGGAAGGAAAAGTATGTTATCTCATTAAAGGGATAAGTATTCTGCCTATCTCCTTTTATATTTTATTAATCCTTTTTAATATTTATGTACATTGGCATCTGATCTCCTGGAACTGGAGTTACAGACAGTTGTGAGCTTCCATGTGGTTAATGTGGTTACTGGGAATTGAACCCAGGTCGTCTGGAAGAACAGCCAGTGCTCTTAACCACTGAGTCATCTCTCCAGCCCCTAATTCTTTATGAATTTCAGGCCAGGCGGTGGTGGCGCACGCCTTTAACCCCAGTACTCAAGAGGCAGAGACAAGCGGATTTCTGTGAATTCAAGGCTAGCCTGGTCTACAGAGCTAGCTAGGTCCAGGACAGCCTACCTTCCCCTACCCGTCTCCTCTCTCTATAGAAGTAGTCTCATATGTCACCCTGGAATTCTCTGTGTAGACCAGGCTCACTTCCATCAGAGATCCACCTGCCTATTCCTCCTGAGTGGTGGGATTAAAGGCATGAAACACAATGCCTAGCCTCTTTATAAGCAGGATTTCTTAACTTATTAGATTCTCCAAGTCCATGTTTCAGACTGAATCTGTTCCTAAATAATCTCTTTTCCTCTGAGGTGAAGAAAAGCTGGAAACCAAACAAAACAAACACCACCTTAACGTTTTCTGCTTGGCATGGTTTGAGGTACGGAATGTTGGCTCTCACCGAAGCTCTGCAGCCGTCCGAGCACACTCCAGTGAGCTCCTCCACGTTAGCTGTTCATCTCGGGGCATTTTCTTAGGAGACCTGGGTAGCTCTTCCACTTGTGAAGAATTAGCGGTCATGATGTGAGCACTGCTAAGCATACATAGACAAACAAATTTAGCCCAAATCAGGACATGGCTGATAAAAAGTATACTTCTATAATTAGGGGAAGATTAAACACAAAAGGGAGAAGCAGAAACTTTTATAGGGCTTAGAACTGAGCTATTCACTTACCAAAAAAAGTTAGAAAATCAGTTACCTTAGTGATATAGAGGGTAATCTTATAAAATGCAGCCTGCACATGCCAACATAGGAGATAAAAACTAAAAAGAAAGGGGAATACTTTAGGTGGTTAGACAGGAAGTTAACCTGTAAGTCCCACCTGCCCTAAGACAGGTAAGGTAACCTTCTGGGATTCTGGGAGTTGTGGTTCTTCTAGATAGATAGATAGATAGATAGATAGATAGATAGATAGATAGATAGATAGATAGATAGATAGATAACAAAGCCTCATGGGAAAGTATGGTGGCCTATGGGTTTTGTCAATATAAGCTCCTCCAACAAGTATCTTGGAGACACTCACCTGGAAAGTTTCCAGGTGATGGTCCTGAGCAAATTCCATCTTGGTCAGAATTTATAATTTTTTTTAAATCTTTTTTTGTCTCTTGTTTTTGTATTTGTTTTTCGAGACAGGGTTTCTCTGTGTAGCTTTGTGCCTTTCCTGGAACTCACTTTGGAGACCAGGCTGGCCTCGAACTCATAGAGATCTGCCTGCCTCTGCCTCCCCAGTGCTGGGATCGAAGGCGTGCGCCACCACCGCCCGGCCCAGAATTTATAATTTTAATAATGAAAGCCTGCTTAAATTCGGCCTAAATGGTGGAACTGGTTTTTCTGGTGAATTTCAGGATTAACATTATGGAAAGGACTTTTATTTTTTTCCTCAATGAACAGAGAAATGCTTGTTTTATAGATACAAAAAAGAATGTAAACACAAATTTTGACAGGGCCTCATTGTGTAGACCAGGCTAGCCTGGAACTCACAGAGATCCCCCTGTCTCTGTGCAGGTGTGCTTGGACTAAGGAATGCTCATCCTGTTGGTTCTTGTTTTGTATTTTTAAACAAAGAAGTTGGGGGCTGGAGAGATGGCTCAGTGGTTAAGAGCACTGGCAGCTCTTCCAGATTGGACCCAGGTTCAATTCCCAGCAACTGCATGGCAGCTCACAACTGTCTGTAGTTCCAGGGGACCATGTTCTAGGGGTCCAGTTTCAGGGGACCCCTAGTAAAACACCAATGCACATTGAAAAAAAAAAGTAAACACTTTTTTTAAAAAAAAGAGGAAGTTGACATTGACTTACAGCTGCCATTTTGATTTCTCTGATTTTCCTGGAAATCAGCAACATTCACTGATCCTTCAGTGACGTATTTCCAACTAGAACCTTTTTAGTAACAACACAGGACTCGAAAGAGGAACTCACAGTTGCCGGGGCTCACTGGTTATTTCGATTCTGTTGTTCTCATCTCTCACATACCCCTTGAAGGTAGGAGGGGCTGTACAACTGCGCCTGTCTTTTGGCCCTGAAAATTTAGGCAGAGAAAGATGTGAGATGTAGCCATATCACCTTCTAGAACACCACATACCAAAACCTAGATGTCATATGCTGGCCACTATGA